GACGGTGCGCGAGACCTTGTCGCGGGGGTAGGGGTCGCGCACGGAGAAGCCCACCCCGTCCTCCGTGATCTCCACCAGCGAGGCCAGGGACTTGGTGATGTTCTTGGTGGAGCTGTCCAGCGGGGGCCCCAGGCACTCGGCCGACGCTGCCTTTATCTGGGCCGACAGCTTGGGCTCGCCCTGGAAGGGAAGCGCCCGCCGGGGTGACCGGGGAGTCCCGGGGGTGGGGCGGACGGTGGGGCCTGGGCCGGAGGCAGAGCAACCCCGGGGGTGGACCCACCAGCCACCACCCTGAGCCCCTCTCAGGGCTTCTGGCAAATGCAAGGCAACAGACATGGATTGTCTGCCCTTATGTGGACTGTGTACCCCAAACGTGTACCCCAAACTGTGCACAATTCTCTCTTAAGAAAGCCTGTTCCTGCCCGGCTGGCGTGGCTCAGTGGCGGAGCGTCGACCCAGGAACCAGGAGGTCACGGTTCCATTCCCAGTCAGGGCACATGCCCAGGTTTCGGACTCGATTCCCAGTGTGGGGTGTGCAGGAAGCAGCCGATCCATGATTCTCTCTCACCATGGATGTTTCTCTCTCCCTCTCCCTTCCTTTCTCTCTAAAAATCAATCAATAAAAAAAATCCCTTTTCTTGGTTCAAGCCTACCCGTGGTGGCCCCTCCCTGGTCCGCAAATGCCCTCACTGCTGCCCCTGCCGGTGGCCGACGAGCTGCGTGTACGACAACCAGGGATCTGGTGAGTTGCTGACTTGGGTCTGGGTCGGGTAAGATCCTTTCTCATCATGGATGTTTCTCTCTCTCTCTCCCTCTCCCTTCCTCTCTGAGATCAATAAAAATCTATTAAAAATAAAAGAAGGGGCTGAAGGACATCCGGGCAACGATGAAGCCACCAGCACGGAACACACACCCACCAGCGATTTTAGCTGCGGGCTTGGCCCCGGTTCTAGCTGCCCACAGAGGTTGTGCGTTCAGAGCCCACGCAGGACGGGGCGGGGGAGGGACCCTGGGGGCGGTTCCCAGGCGGACGCCCGCGGGCCTGCCTGAGCCTCGTTCCTCTCCTGTGAGGCGGGCAGGCCGTGCTCACGGCTGAGCTGTGGCTCAGGGGAAACCTCGGGGTGAAAGCAGGTGCCACATGGGACGGCTGTCACCCCCCATCACACCAGCAGAGGGCGCACCGCGAGGTGAGCCGACCCGGACACGGGAAGGCGACAGGGGACAGTGCGCGGGGCCTGTCTGAGCGTTTGGGGAGCGGAGGGGGCTGGCGAGGCTGCAGGAAGGAGCTTCCGAGAATCCAGGCACCAGCCACGGAGGATTCAGGGCCGTCTGGGGGCCTGCGGGGGCCTGAGCGCCCCGTCCGTCCCTGCCAGCTCACTCCCGAGGTCCCAGCTCCCTCAGGGAACAGACGGGTCCCCGGTCAAGACGGAAAAGTCAGAGATGCCAGGAGTGGGGCCGGAACAGAATGTCCGGGGGCTGCCCAGCTGCACCAGCCCTGCCCACGGCCACGGCCACGGCCAGGCCACAGGCTCCCTCCCCCGAAG